AACGCCTAAGAACAAATCACCCCGAATTGGAATGCGGCCGATCTGATCGGACCTCAAAAGCCAAGCAGCTCTGAGCCTGGACAGTGCCTGGAAGGGATGTCCACCATGCACAAACAGGTCGTCATAGGGCTGCGGGGGCCACGTTGTGTTCATATGCAGTTGTACTATACGTCTCTGCTGCCCGCCTTTACCAATCCGCACTGACCAGGCGGGGTGAAGTGTGGTCAAACGGCCTCGCCAACCAGCGCGGCGCGTGGAGGCCCTCATCCAACAGTGGATTGGCAAAAGGTCTCTATGCTCTTACGGGCATTGTGTGGTGCTCATCTCGGTGCTCATCATGGTCCATGGGAATTGCACATTCCCATGGACCATCTTTAACAATCAGTGACGATTTCGCACGAAGTGCTACCTATTTAATAACCCTGCAGAGGTGACAATGGTGGCTTGCCTATGTCAACCGTTGACCCTGCAATAAGAAGGCATGCGCATTGCTATGTAACAGTCTAGGTAATGAAGGGTTGATAGCACGCAGCACGAAACACGGTTATTACAATTAGAATAACGATCACCCCGATAGCAAAGTAGTGAAATCACATTGAGAACAACAAGATACGTATAACGCGTTTAATTGTCGTATTTGCGATCAGTAAGTACTGTACTGTGTGGAAGACAACAAGACATATAGGCTGCAATGTTATGACAATTCGCGCATATGCACAACAGCGCATATCGCGACACCGTATTCAACATGCACAGATTTAGCACTTTCATTGAAAGCATTAATATCAACAACCATAATTAGAACATTTAGCCAATTAAAATAGCGATAACATTACGGCATTTAATAAAAAATCATGATCACAGTTCTCACCTGCTCAATCTACTTCCGCATAACCATGTTGCCCTCAGCGTGTCAGAAGGGGCATGACAAAGCAAAATGACAATACTATTTATGACGATTATAACTACGTGAAATTATGTTAACAATAGCAGTAGTAATAATTAATTATTATTGTAATAGCTGGTCTCGTTCTAAGGAAGAAGGAACCTCAGCGGCATTACGAGCGGCGATATAAGCGTGCTTCTCATTGGTCATGGCTCCCCAAAAAGACGTGGCTTGCAAGGAATCCACCCACTTTTATTCAGCACATCAAATTTGATTAAACCTGGGCTCAAAATAATGTATTTTCTACTTTTGAGTGGAAATAAAAGCGTGTGCATTGAAAAACGTGTTTTTTTACCATGAAAAGTATTTTAACTTTTTAACCACTAATTAATTTTACAAGGTAAAAGCACACTAGAGCTATATAGCCAAATTATCAAGTGTTTTTAGATGACTATGGATTTTCACATTTTCATCTAACAAAATAACAAAGAAGATAATCTAAATGGGTTTTCTCGGGGGTTAAAGGACGAATTTCCGTTGAATGACTAAATCAGTACCTGTTGCTGTCAGATAAGGCCCATCGAGTTATATAGCTCTTTTTTCAGAAGCGACTTGGCCACAAATGATAGCCCAATGAAGTGGCTTATCATGTGGACATTTATAGGAGCCAAATACTCGAAGCACATTTCTAAATGTGTAGGGAAAAACCGGAATACCTGAAGAAAAATCCACGCGACCATAGGTTGGCACATGCAAACTCCAAATAAACATGGGTGAGGGTCAGGATCGAACCCACGACCTCTTGTAAACCAAGCGAGGTAGTTAACATTTTACTACCGCCCGATATTAACTGCGAGATGTTACCTACTGCGAGATGTTAACTGTTAAGAACAGCATCACTATAACCCTCAACGCCTGAGCAATCACGTGGGCTTGGAATGCGCTCGATCTGGTCGGACCTCGAAGCCAAGCAGATCTGAGCTTGGACAGTGCCTGGATGGGTGTCCACCATACACAAACAGGTTGTCATAGGGCTGCAGGGCCATGTGTCTATATACAGTTGTACTAAACATCTATGCTGCCCGCGACCATCGTGATTTAAAATAAGGGGCGGAATTGATTAGCATTAATTAAATGAAGTAAAAAATGTTAAGAGGCCCAGGACCGGCGGGACCTGAACCATTTTTGTTTAATAAAATCTTGAATTGTCGCGCGAGACGAGTCTGTGTAGAAAATTTCAGCTCGTTAGGCTTCGTAGATCCGAGGATATTAGGCGTCAAAGATTTGAACGAATAAAAACAGACAACGGGGCATGTTCAATAAAAGTGTACAACAAAAAAAGGGGTCTTACCAGTGGCTGGGGTGACGCTAATGGGCAAGGCGGGGGGGGGGGACATTGTGGGGGACGTTTCACAAACCTAAGTGGAGGAGAGAGACCTTGAAGGGCAACGCGATCGCAACGTCGGGCGTAATGAGAAGGGATATTTGGCAATGGGAAGTAATGGTAAGGAGGATTCCATAGGCCGCATTTTTCCCCACTTACGACAGTTTGGAGCCCCTGTGGTGCACCAGGTGCACTCATGGATTGTGCGTGCCCGAGAACAGAATCCCGTCAACTCAATCAATTAACTCGATTAACTGCGGGGCCCGTTCGACTCGGCACTCAATAAATTAACGACGGGCACAGCTAACTGACCCAGGATGACCAGAGGCATGAAGAAGCAAAGTAACAAATGTCAGATCCTCCAGCCGATTAAATCTCATCAACACGGAGTGTGATGTATTCATATCTGTCAACCGCTTATCAGTGCCTACATTATTACACACAAATTCATACCTTATTGGGCACCCCATGACCTTATAATTCTCAACATTTATCCTACAAAGTACCATCACAAGGGAGAAACACAATGTTTTACTCAATTTCCATGTACAAGAATATGGGTAAACCGTATGAGTTGACAGGTATGTGTATTGCAAATAAATGTATAAAAGTCCATCTGCTGTCTGTATAAAGGTCACACCATAGGTCATGTAAATTTTGCTGTGGTGCCCAATGCATTAGCCATCCGAATACAACTCTTTGAAAAAAATAAAACACTTTTTTATTTATATTCTCTACAAAGACACAAATTATTTATATGCAGTTAAAATCTACGTTGTTTTTAGCTATAGGAAGAAAACCATGCAGAAAAGAGGAAGAAATTTACGAAAAATAAGAATAGGTTTTACCCTTTCTGGCAATAAAATAGGCGTTAAGATGTTCAAACAATAGATACCTTTTTCAAGGAAACAAATCTGAATTAACCACACAATTGTGTAGTGAACATACACACAAACAGGTTCTGATAATATACAGTGAGTGAAAAAAAGTATTTGATCCCCTGCTGATTTTGTACGTTTGCCCACTGACAAAGAAATGATCAGTCTATAATTTTAATGGTAAGTTTATTTGAACAGTGAGAGACAGAATAACAACAAAAAAATCCAGAAAAACGCATGTCAAAAATGTTATAAATTGATTGGCATTTTAATGAGGGAAATAAGTATTTGACCCCCTCTCAATCAGAAAGATTTCTGGCTCCCAGGTGTCTTTTATACAGGTAACGAGCTGAGATTAGGAGCACACTCTTAAAGGGAGTGCTCCTAATCTCAGCTTGTTACCTGTATAAAAGACACCTGTCCACAGAAGCAATCAATCAATCAGATTCCAAACTCTCCACCATGGCCAAGACCAAAGAGCTCACCGAAGGATGTCAGGGACAAGATTGTAGACCTACACAAGGCTGGAATGGGCTACAAGACCATTGCCAAGCAGCTTGGTGAGAAGGTGACAACAGTTGGTGCGATTATTCGCAAATGGAAGAAACACAAAAGAACTGTCAATCTCCCTTGGCCTGGGGCTCCATGCAAGATCTCACCTCGTGGAGTTGCAATGATCATGAGAACGGTGAGGAATCAGCCCAGAACTACACGGGAGGATCTTGTCAATGATCTCAAGGCAGCTGGGACCATATTCACCAAGAAAACAATTGGTAACACACTACGCCGTGAAGAACTGAAATCATGCAGCACCCGCAAGGTCCCCCTGCTCAAGAAAGCACATACACATGCCCGTCTGAAGTTTACCAATGAACATCTGAATGATTCAGAAGACAACTGGGTGAAAGCATCAACTCAACTCGCCGTGTTTGGAAGAGAAGAAATGCTGCCTATGACCCCAAGAACACCATTCCCACCGTCACACATGGAGGTGGAAACATTATGCTTTGGCGGTGTTTTTCTGCTAAGGAGACAGGACAACTTCACCGCATCAAAGGGACGATGGACGGGGCCATGTATTGTCAAATCTTGGGTGAGAACCTTCTTCCCTCAGCCAGGGCATTGAAAATGGGTCGTGGATGGGTATTCCAGCATGACAGTGACCCAAAACACACAGCCAAGGCAACAAAGGAGTGGCTCAAGAAGAAGCACATTAAGGTCCTGGAGTGGCCTAGCCAGTCTCCAGACCTTAATCCCATAGAAAATCTGTGGAGGGAGCTGAAGATTCGAGTTGCCAAACGTCAGCCTCGAAACCTTAATGACTTGGAGAAGATCTGCAAAGAGGAGTGGGACAAAATCCCTCCTGAGATGTGTGCAAACCTGGTGGCCAACTACAAGAAACGTCTAACCTCTGTGATTGCCAACAAGGGTTTTGCCACCAAGTACTAAGTCATGTTTTGCAGAGGTGTCAAATACTTATTTCCCTAATTAAAATGCAAATCAATTTATAACATTTTTGACATGCGTTTTTCTGGATTTTGTTGTTGTTATTCTGTCTCTCACTGTTCCAAAAAACCTACCATTAAAATTATAGACTGATCATTTCTTTGTCAGTGGGCAAACGTACAAAATCAGCAGAGGATCAAATACTTTTTTCCCTCACTGTATGCATTGTCTGTTTCATTGCCAAAAGGGTAAAACCTATTCTTATTTTTCATACTTTGATACTGGCAAAAAGGTCCCATGATAAGAAGAAAATTTCCAGGGCAAGGTTATGTAAGGTAAGCAGACAGACTCCCATCAGCAATTATCACACACAGAGGCTACGGTTGGCATGGGAAACTAGATTTACCTTCTCAGAACAGTAGTTTTCAATCATCTGAGTGACCTTGGGGTGAGAAGGGTTGATGGTTGTGTCCTGCAGAACCACATCCTGAATGTAAAACTGCCGAACGGTCTTCAGCGGGATCTTTTGAAGGTTCATGCGCTTCCCGTGCACGTGAAGGATGCCCACGTGCCTTTAAAAGACACAACAGCATCATTCGCACCTTCGATTAGCACGGTCGGCTACGTGCGGTGCGAAAGAAGTTCAACATATATAGACTCACAGACACCCATAGACTCACACAGAGACCCATAGTTTGTTGTCCTTCGCCCGCACCTCCGATTAGCATGGTTGGCTACGTACGGTGCGAAAAAAGTTCAACATACGGACGTATTGACGGTACACCGGTGCAGCATAAAACACCAGAGTCCTCATAAAACAGTCTATAATTACAATTTGAACTGACATTCGTCTTCCAACTGCTTCGACATCACGATAACTGATTTTGATGCACCACCCCACAAGATTTTCTGAGCGGGGTTGCGAATGGTGAGAAAATAAAATAATTGTAAGTGTTCTAATAATTATTCATACTGCGCACCGGTGTACCGCCAATACGTTCATACATTAAGCATCACAAATATTACTTATTATTATCATAGACCAACGACTCTTTTAAGCACTTTTGCCTTGAGCTATATTAAAAGGCTAATGGTGATGTGCTATGGGTAGCCGTGGTTGGGTGATGGGGCTCTCTCCCTATGGGGACATGTGTGCGTCTGTGCGCATCTGTTCGTGTGCGCGTGTCTGTGACAAACCCGGCGACCCGGGATCGATTCCCACTCACGACCGGCAACACCAGCGACAACCCAAACCGGTTTTGACCCTCACCTAGGTCGACTCAATTGAGTACCTGGTGCCACGTGTAAACATTGCCATGGAGGAGACAAGGCCAGCCGGGCGTGGTGCTGGCCACCCACCCCCTCGTGCGCTGTGGGCAGCCTTCACAGGTGCCGCTTTCTAACGGCACTTACCCCCCAACAGTCTAAGGCTGTACGGGGGACATTTGTTTTTGTTGTGCACGCGTCCGCCGAACGCCGTTCACTTGGCAACTGCTTCGCCGGGAGAGAGGGAGGTCACGACGCTGCTGCCGGGCTGCGTGACGTAGAACAAGCGCTGCTCGTTGCGCATGGGCTTGATGAGGCACTCGTGCTCGTGGCCCCACACCACCAGGTCCAGGAAGCTATAGAGGAAGTGCTCCGGGATGTAGTTGGTGGCGCTGTGCTTTGACCTGTGTGTATGTGCGTGCGTGCGTGGGTAAAGCGGGTGGGTAGCGGTTAGCGCGCTGCGCTATGAACCTCTTGACTCGAGTTCGATTACCGCTCACGCCCAACGCCAGTGGCGATTATCTAAACTGGTTTCTGTGCCTCCCCTACGTCGAATCAGCCTCAAATGAGCACCTGGTGTGGTGTGGTGTAAATGGTGCCACTGGTGAGGTAAAGGCGGTCGGGAGCATGGTGCTGGCCACCCACTCCTTCATGTTCCGTGCCGGCCGTCATAGGTACTCGCTAACAGCACTTGCCCCAACAGGCTGAACTTTGTCTTTGGAGCGGTGGCATCGTGGTCAGCGCACTGGAATCACACCTTAGTGAGCAGTTTGTCAACTTGAAATATCTAGGCGTTATCCAGGACTCGAAAATGTCTTTGAAGACCCTTATTGACCACATGACCAACAAGATAACAAAACTAAATTGGATTCCTATACAGAATCAAACGCTGTGATGTACAGATAAAATTGTGGGTACAACTTCGGTGTTTACCACATTTCATTAAAAGACACCTGCATTCCGTGCATTTACGGATGGACAGAGTGGACTCTGAAATACGGTGGTGTTGGCCAGCACACACATAAAAGGGTGCAAGATTACACATTGTGCATGCATAAAAATCTGCACAACTCACACTAATGGATCCTTTCCCACAAAGCTATGGTGACAAAATTAATGCATGGGTCACGATGACATCCCAGAGCTTCGGTTCCTGGAACCCTATTAGCCACTTTCTGGCAGGGCAATCATTTCTCCTCAACGCAGGAATTTAGTTTCTTTGTGTCATCATTTGTGACACATTTCTATTCACGTACGGCTGGATTAATAGCAACTCATAAGTCAATGTCCTGATTAGTTTAGACAGGACATTGCTTCAATTAATTTGTGGTGGATTGATTAATTTCATCCAGTTAATTTTCATAGTTTGCAGTGGTTCACAATTAGTGAGATCTCAAACTGACCCACAGACTCACAAAGAGACCCACAGACTCACATGGAGACCCACAGACTCATACATTTCGCAATGGTTCACAACTAGTGAGATTTCAAACTGACCCACAGACTCACATGGAGACCCACAGACTCATATAGAGACCCAAAGACTCACATGGAGACCCACAGACTCACACGGAGACCCAAAGACTCACAGAGTTCCCAATGGTGCACAACTATACTCTTTGGTTCTATTCGGTAAAGTCACGTAGGTAAAACAAATAAAACAACAAAAATCACGACGTTTCGGCCACAACACAAGCGGCCTTCATCAGGTGAAGGGACCAGCCTGTCTCGAAGACTGCGCTGGAGTGAAACAGAGCCAAGCTCAGACTGCGACCTTTAAGCTGTGTGAGAGGGATTAAGGTGCCTTGACAAAGGAATTAGCGTAAATATTAGCATTTGATTGGCGGACTTAGCATGATGAAAGGTGTAGCACACGGCAGTGCACCTTTAAGCCGTGTGAGAGGGATTAAGGTGCCTTGACAAAGGAATTAGCGTAAAAATTAGCATTTGATTGGCGGACTTATCATGATGAGGTGTAGCACAGTGATCGGCACCGGCAGTGCACCAGCCTTTGCTGCGAAAGTGTGGGGTACCCCTACTTGAAAAAATATACTGTACCAATGAAAATTAGTTTAATGTTTAGTTCGATTTAGAACATCTTTCCAATGGTTGCTTAATTTGAAACCATCTTCTCGGTTGAAATTGTGTCTGTGTTTGTAGATCTGAATTGCCTCGTGAACAAATCTCTGATAAAAACCTGTGGGTTTGCAAAGAACCTTGGTATCGGAGAAAATTATATCGTGATCACCCACAGCGTTGTAACAGTGATCAGCCACGGCAGAAGAATTCGTTCTGCCATGTTTCAAATCTGATTTGTGCTCGCGAATTCGGTCAGAGACATGTCGCTTCGTCTCCCCGATATAGCAATCACCGCAGGTACAACTCAATTTGTAAACCCCGGGGTACTGTAAGTCAGGAATGACATCCTTCACGGAGGGGATCAGATCACGAATTTTATGTACTGTATTGAACCGGACCTGGATCTTGTGTTTGTTAAGAATTTTGGAAATCTTTTTAGTAACGCCTGCTATATAGGGTAGTGTGATGGTTTTGACCGGAGTATCAAGTGGTTGTTTCTGTATGGAGGGAGAAACAGCTTGGCGGATGGTACGGTCAGAGTATCCATTCCTTTTGAGGGCAGGTGTACATGTTTTAATTCACTGGTCAGGTGGTGTTGGTCCGAAATGCAATGAGCCCTATGGTATAAAGTTTTGATGAGAGAATTATTTTGGGCTGGGTGGTGGTGGGAATCAGGCTTCAAGTAGGAATCTGTGTGGGTGGGTTTCCTGTAGACAGAATGCCCCAATGAGCCATCAGGTCTCCTCTCAAACAGAACATCCAAGAATGGTAGCTTGCCATTTTTCTCCACTTCCATGGTGAATTTGATGGCGGGATGTCTGGAATTGATGTGGTGTAGGAAAAGGTTCAGAGCTGGGAGGCCATGTGGCCAAATAACGAAAGTGTCATCCACATATCTCTTCCACAGTGAAGGTCTGAGGGTGGAAGTCTGACTGTAGTCTGAGCTTGGCTCTGTTTCACTCCAGCGCAGTCTTCGAGACAGGCTGGTCTCTTCACCTGATGAAGGCCGCTTGTGTTGTGGCCAAAACGTCGTGATTTTTGTTGTTTTATTTTTTTTACCTACGTGACTTTACCGAATAGAACCAAAGAGTATGGATCCTTGCAGTCACGAAAGCTTCAAATCTAGAAAGGTGCACAACTAGTTAGTCTCAAAGAGACCCACAGACTCATAGAGACCCACAGACTCACACAGAAACTCACAGACTCACATAGAGACCCATAGACTCGCAGAGAGACCCACTGACTGACAGAGTTCGCAGTGGTTCATAATTAGTGAGTCCTCACAGAGAGACACACATACTCACATAGAGTCCCACAGACTCGCATAGAGTTCATAGTCATACAATACTGTGTGATTTCACACGGAGACCCATGCACTCCAGGCTTTCCAAGAATTCCCACTAGTAAAGGTGGTGGGCGGATTGGCCGTGAGTTTGTGAGATAAATTAGAACATCCGACTCGCTAATCTCAGGAAATGTGATTTGCTTTGGATGAGTGCTGAGAATTCAAACCAAAATCTTAGCAGTATTTAAGTACTCCTCTGGCGTTGACATTGTTCACCGTCAGAACGCTTGTCTGTCGTCTCATTAGTTATACATGCATAACTCATCAGAATTATTTCTGATAACGTGACAAATATAAATATAGAAAGTAACGTCGTGCAACATTTATTGCCAAAAATATGAGATTTTTCCAAGTCACATTTGAGCGATCCAAGTTTAATTAAAGAACTTATTAAAAAATGGCAACAACAATAATTCCAGGTTATTTGTCAATCCCACGGCTGCAAGGTGTACGTGCTTCCGCCAATGTTGTGCTTCGAGGGTGGTCTAGCGGGGGCTCCACAGTTGTTGTGGGAGAGAAAAGGCCCACAAGTCAGCTCAACGAGGTTGTCTCGTCTGGCTTATGGCGGTGCCAATTTTTGAAGTACGCCTCTCGGGTTTTTGGACATCTTTCTCGAGGACTTTTCCAGTGTCCTCTCTCGTCCAGGGGCTTGGGTTGCCAGCGCGCGGCACCGTCCACATACGTGAACCTGCGGGAGGATGTTGCCGGAATGCCTGCCGGCGTAGAGATGGAACAGCGCCGGGGCAAGAGCAGATCCCTGCGGGAGTCAGCTCTTGCCGGGAGTCGGCTATTCAATCTCCGTGGGCCGCTGGCCGCTTCATCGAAATGGATGCGGTGAATTATCGCGGGCTCGGCACGTCGGCGACAAGTCGGACTGTCGGGCGGCAAAGGCACAGTCCGTCGCAAGCTGTAGCGGCACACCCTTCCGCTATGCGAGATCATCTGCCGAAGAGAGGCCATCGAATGCTGCCGCTGTTTTGGGACGACGTTCAAAGCCTGTCTTCAATGTCGCTTGCTCGTGGCCATTTCGTCCGTTCCTGTACCCGGCTTGTTCCTTGGGGACTATATCCCCAAACATAAGACTTCAGCCTTTGCGAAGAGACTAACTTCTCGAGTGGTAATAATAATAATATATAAATGCGCTCGGATCAGTTCGGGATAGCTATACAGCACAACTGCAACCACCTACGCGGAAATAGAGAAATTCCACCACTGGATGGATTAAAGCCATCTTAAGAGATGAGAATTTGCTCGCACATGGAGAAGCCGTCAATTTTCTTTAATCCCTGTATTAAAGTAAAAAAAATGTCAGTCATTTTCTGCTGAGCATTGAGGTGGTGCTCGTCTCCTGCTTCCAGCTCTGAGCCAGTGGAGAAAATTCTATATTCCTATGATGCGGGATTAGTCTATCAATAGGGCAAACAATAGTGATTCCACCACAAAAGTGGCACTTGTTAATTAACTACAGAGGGACGGACAATGGGGCTGAGTAAAAATACCCGAACAGAATTTGAACGCGCGATTTTTCCGTTTGCGAGACGCTGACTCAATCGCAAGCCACCAGGTTCGATATACCGCTCACATTAAAACCCAGGAATTCTGAGTTGTGATATCACTTGGCCACCTCTAAAGGTGTAGCTTTATATGTACATATACAAAATTACCACATGTCAACAACAAAACACCCCCAGAAGATAATGTGTACTTGGGACAGCCACTGAATGTGCAATGGAATCGAAAATCGTTTCAACAAATGTGCAGACAAAAGCAAATTCGAGTCAATTTGGAGCACTGAACAAAAAGCAACAGATAAAATTGTCACAAAAAAAGTTTGTAATTAGCTGTGACACTGTCAGTGCTACCAAAGAACATGAGATAAAAGCTCAAGAGTGCACAGAGAAGCATCAGAATCAGAATGTTCATATATACTGGAGAAATACGATGAGTTATAAAGCTCTTTTTTCACAGATGTCCAGTAGG